TGAGCAGCCTGAGATTAAACACTTTCTGTGGCTCATCTGCCCAGGGAGGATTTTGGGTTCCAAATCCCCATGGAGAAGCCAGGGATGCCCTCTGCATTCCGGTGGGCCTTTCCCTTTTCAAGCACATGCCTTCACATTCCTCGGCTTTTCCTAGCCTCTTGTACTTCCTGGCATGGGGAGAGGGGGGGATTAAAATGTGCCCATTTGACAGAGGCACACTGATGGCTGCTTTCTCAGAGGCCAAGCCATGAGTGGCCAACCTGAGCCAGGTCCCAAGGGATCTGGGGAAGAGAGGCTACCTCTGTCCCTCTGACGCATGTGGGGCCCATGCCCAGGGTGCCTCGTCCAGCCTGGTGGTGAAGTTTGCTGACACAGAGAAGGAGCGAGGGCTCCGCCGAATGCAGCAGGTGGCCACCCAGCTGGGCATGTTTAGCCCCATCGCCCTCCAGTTCGGAGCCTACAGCGCCTACACCCAGGCCGTGAGCACAGCCCCCTGGTGCTGGCCCCGCCCACCCCCTCTCCTCCTGGTCCTCTGTCCTGCCCCCACCCTCCCAATGTCAAGGCTCAGGGTTGGATGGGGAGCCAGGCCAGGGTGCAGGGCGCCTGGCCCCACTCTCCTCTCTTCCCCTGCCCACAGCTGATGCAGCAGCAGGCGGCCCTGGTGGCGGCTCACAGTGCCTACCTCAGCCCCATGGCCACCATGGCTGCCGTGCAGATGCAACACATGGCCGCCATCAATGCCAATGGCCTCATCGCCACCCCCATCACCCCATCCTCAGGTAAGGTCCAGGCAGGGCTGGGCTGGCAGAAGTAGGGTTGGTCAGGGGAGCCATGGGGTCCAGGAGGGGCTCAGGGCTCAGAAAATAACCTGCCTCCTGCCCTCTGCCTGCACACTGGCTGATTGGTTCTCTGCATTTGTGTGTGTCTCGGCTTCTCTGCTCTGTCTTTGTCGCTTTCTCCTCCCCAGGAACCAGCACCCCTCCTGCCATCGCTGCCACGCCTGTCTCGGCCATCCCAGCTGCCCTGGGCGTCAATGGCTACAGCCCAGTGCCCACCCAGCCCACCGGGCAGCCTGCCCCAGATGCTCTGTATCCCAACGGGGTTCACCCCTACCCAGGTGGGGGTCTCTGCTGCCACCCCTCTCCCAGCAGCCCTCCAGCCACCATTCCCCTTCCTGGCAGCTGGGACACCCCCCCCATCTCCAGGCTTGGGGCTATAAGGCCTTCTCCTGCTCTGTCATCCTGGGCAGGGGTGTTCCTTCCCATTCCCAGCCAGGGAAGCTGAGGCGCAGGGAGGCAAAGGGACTTGTCCAGGGTTGCACAGCCGGTCAGACTCAAGTCTTGCTAACGTCAGGGGAGCCTGTGCATGTCCACCTTCTCATTTTATACCCGAGCCCACATGAGGCTCTTGTCCCCACGTGCCGGCCTCTGCTCTGCTCTGCTCTGCTCTCACGGNACATGAGGCTCTTGTCCCCACGTGCCGGCCTCTGCTCTGCTCTGCTCTGCTCTGCTCTCACGGTTGGTGCTGCTTTCCCCAGCCCAGAGCCCCGCGGCCCCCGTGGACCCCCTGCAGCAGGCCTATGCAGGGATGCAGCACTACACAGGTGAGGAGCCCCACCGGGCCTGGCCCGGTCGGGAGGGATGGCCAGACGGAAAGAGGCCCTGAAGCTGGGCCTGGGGCAGTCCCCTCTCTGACACCTCTCAGCCCTGCCAACCCCATTGCCTGGGCCAGGGGTAGGGAGACAGGGCTGGCAGGGGAGGGCTGGGGCCAGGGCATCTCGGGAGCCCCAGTAGCTCTCTGTCTCCCCACCCCAGCAGCCTACCCGGCAGCCTACAGTCTGGTTGCGCCTGCGTTCCCGCAGCCTCCTGCCCTGGTGGCCCAGCAGCCCCCACCTCCCCCCCAGCAGCAGCAGCAGCAACAGCAACAGCAGCAGCAACAACGGGAAGGTGCGACCCGAGCTGAGAGCCTCTGGGGATACGGGTGCCCTTGTCTGGGGATATGGGTGCCCTTGTTGCGGGCTCAGACTCCCTCTGCCTGGTCCAAGTCCAGCTTTGGCCCCATGGGTGGGGAAGAAAGGGAGTGGGGGTCAAGGTGGCTGGCACCCTGACCCACATGTTTTGGGCCAGGATTGGAGGGTCCTTCCAAGACCTGCTCTCCCCAGGCCTGTGCTCCTTGAGTCTGTCCCCCAGTCACCAAGCTCCTCCTGTGTCTCTGTTGCCACCAGGCCCTGATGGCTGCAACATCTTCATCTACCACTTGCCCCAGGAGTTCACCGACTCAGAAATCCTCCAGATGTTTGTCCCCTTTGGCCATGTCATCTCAGCCAAAGTCTTTGTGGACCGGGCCACCAATCAGAGCAAGTGTTTTGGTAAGAATATAATGACCTAAAGATAAAATATGGCACATTTTTGCCAAACTCCAAATGCGGACGAGGTCTGATATACTTGAAGTCACTTATGGTTGTAGTGGGCCCACTATTTGGAATCCAGATTGACCAAGAGTCCAGAAAAAAACCAAAACATTTTTTACACACCCGACATTCCTACCAGCTGCGCCCAGGCCCATCTCCTCTCCAGAAAACCGCAGGCCCACCTTCTCCCCTTAAGAGCCTATTAAACCCATGCTCTGTGAGGTCTGATAGAGGCTCTGGAATAGGATATTTGGTTTCCAAAAGGGAGGCTTAGGGAGTCGAGTTAAGTTGCCTTCAGGTCTTTGTCTGCAAGGCTGCTTCAGGGGAAAAAGGGAACGTGCTTGTCCTCCCCACTTCAGCAGTCATTTAGGGTCTGCAGTGTTTTCAGTGGGTGGGCTCAGAACCATCCAGGCTGAGCAAGGGACTGCCCCTCAGAGAACGCTGAGAACTCCCAGTGTGGGAGTGGCTGGGCTGTATTCGCTCACTTAGACAATCAGGGGGTACTGACTGAATGCCTGCTGCGTGCTGGGCAGTTTTCTAGGCATTTTGGGGGGCCTGCAGGCAGTAGGGTGGTGCTGGGAAACTAGCACAGGAGAGTGAGGTGCGGTTGGGCCATCCCTATGCCCCTCTCACCGTAGGCTTTGTGAGTTTTGACAATCCGGCGAGCGCCCAGGCTGCCATACAGGCCATGAACGGTTTCCAGATCGGCATGAAGCGCCTCAAAGTCCAGCTAAAGCGGCCTAAGGATGCCAACCGGCCCTACTGAGGGCCCCAGGTGGGTCCTGTTCCTGTCCTGTGACCTCTCCAGCCCCCACACACTGCAGCCAGGGCCCTGGCTCAGACTGCCTCCACGCTCTCTTCCACCAGCCTCAGGGATGGCCTGACTGGTTGTTTTTCAGTCATCCAAGTCTCCCCCATACACACACACAGGCAAACACGCACGCACGCACGCACACACAGAGTGACCCCAGACAGAGCCAAGTGCGCTCCCCAGATCTTCCCCGGTATCTGGTCTCGTTCATCTGGTCAGTGTCCATGTGTCTGTGTGTGTCTCTCTCTCTGGTTTTCCTTTGGGTTGGAGTGAGATTACGGGAGTAGGGTTTAAGGATTAAGAGGGCTGGTTTAGGGCACTGGAGGGTCGTAGAATCACTGGCTGCTGGACGGAATATCTATTCTGAGAAGTAGGGACGTCGGGTCCTTAGTCCCCTGGACTCCAGGTGATTTTCTTATGTGGCAGTGGACCCATGGGACAGTGGAGAGTGCACAGAACAGACTGGGGGGAGTCCCAGCCTCAGGCCTCTCGGGAGCAGCTTTGGTTCAGGTGGAGGAAGCTGAAATGCTGGACTGCCTGTGAATTTCACTGCAAGGTCCCCTCCACTCCACTGCCTTCCACCACCCCACCCATGGCCTAGGCTGTGAGCTTTGGTTACTTTTATGTTGTTTAATCTCCTTTGGACCAAACCCCCGAAAAAATACAACCCAAGAACAATACCCACATTTTCTGTTTCTCCCCCTTTCCCCCCAATCCTGGCTGCTTAACTCCCCCCACCCTGGGGGCCCCCAGCCCAGGGCCCGTGTCCATTGTCGGCCGAAGCCCCCATCCCCGGACCCCTGCTCCGGGCCCCTGTAAGTTGCATGGAACGAGCGTGTTGTCTTTGGAGCCAATTGTTTGTTATTTGGGGAGGGGGCCGCGGAGGGAAGCGCCCCCCCAGCCCAGGGTCAGGGCCGGGGGCAGCTCGCGGGATGTGCTTGGTTGACAGTGGTTGGTGACTGTGGTCTGTGTTCTGTGCATCTCTCTGGCTTTCTTCGTTCCTTTCCGAAAGGAATGAGAGCACCCTGTAGGGGCCCTGGGCTCTCCCCAGCCTGCTCTGCCCTCCCCTTTGCGGGTGCCCTCTGCTCTCTCCTCAGGTGTCTGCCCCACGCAGCACCCTGCTCCTTTCTCTGAGTCCTCGCTGCCTGCCTGTGCTGTCTCATCCCTTTGCCTCTCTCCCTCTAGTCCCCGACTGTATCTTCTGGTCTTTCTTTTTCTCATGGGCTGTTTGAATATTTCCTCCCTAATATCTTCGGTTTCTCGTATCACCTGCCCTCCCTTCCATCTCCACCCCTCCCACTTGTCCAATGGCTGGGGGACCGGATGGTTCAGTTTGGACTGAGGGCCTTCTGATGACCTGTCTTCCTCAGCCACTCCAGCCACCCCCCACCCCTGAGCCCGTGACCTGTATTGGCAGCTGTCTTCCCATGGCTTCACCCGTGTTTCCTTCCTTCACAGGTCTGGAGACACCACAGGAAGGGGCTCCTCACCCTGGTCCCCACGCCTGGCCCTCTCCGCACATCTGCTCTGAGCCTCAGTTGGGCTCTGGGCAAAAGCTGCTTCCTGGCTCTGGGGGCACAGGACACCGGCCCACTCCCACCCCCCCGCCTCTCCTCAAGGGCCTGTTTCCTCCCAGGTGCCCTTTTGGCCTTTGTGAGGGAGCAAGGAACAGGCTCGGAGGCTCCAGGGTACCTGCCTTCTGCTGGGGCTCCTGTGGCGGGCCTTCTGCGCCCAGCTTTCGCACTTGCCTCCCCGACCAGTGGGCCTGTTCTACCTGTGCAGCTGGGAGGGCAGCGGGGCCTCCCACATGCTCCTCACCCCACCCTGGGCCCAGCCTCTTCCCACATCAGGGGTTTCTCAGAAGCTGGCTCTCCCGCCCCTGCCACCCTCAGCTAGACGTAGGCTATCACAGAACCCTGGGCTCCCAGCCCTAAAACTCACTGCCTCCCCTAAGGGCCCCCCTCTAAGGAGGGTGTGGGGGAGCCCTGAGGGCTGCCTCTCTGCCAGTCAGCCACAGAGACCCTCCTCCTTTCACGAGGAAAAGACCTCCCCGAACCCCTAAAAATGTTTACAGTCTCTGCTGGTCCCCTCCGTGTAAATACCACTACCAGCCGTGCGTTATCCAGCCCGGCCCGGCCCGGCCCGGACGCTGCCATCTCTCTTCTGGGAGTTTAGACAATGTTTCCCTTGGATTTCTTCTCTCTTGATTTCTCCCTTTGCTTTGGGGGGTAATTGGGTATTGGGGAGGAGGGGCGTGGGGAGGGATAAAGGGGTTTATTACCTGGTCATTTTCTTTAGGAAGTTCTAGGGAAAAGAAGTGGGGTGGGGGTGGGAGTGGTACGGGGAGACTGGGGAGTCGGTTTCAGACACTTCTCTATGCTTAACTTATTTATTTATTGCATTTTACTTTTAAAGAGTTCGTCTTTTCTGTCTAAATAAAGAAAAAGGTTTAAAAGCATCAAATAAGAGTCTTGGAAGGTTGAGGGTGGGGTTTGTACACAGAGGGGGGGAATGAGGAGAGCGAGGCTGGGGAGGGAGAACTCCCAGGAAGGGCCAGCGCTCGCCTCTGAGCAGTGCCCAGGCCTTGAACACGCTCCGTGACCCTGTTCCTTCGCCCTTCCGGGGGGCTTCATTCTGCAGAGCGGGGCACCGAGGCAGAAAGCGGGTCAGCAGGTCTCTCCTGCATCCAGCCCTGTTCCTCCAAAGGCCGAGGACTTGCAGCCTCACACCCTGCCCTGCCCTGCCCTGCGCCAGCCAGTGGGGATACCACGAGCTAACTGTACCCCCACCATTACTACGCGGTTACTTTTAACGTGTATTTCCTCATTTAACCTCTCATCACCCCTGTGAGGCAGGAAATAATTTTACACACAGGGAACTGGAGGCTTTGGAGGGTAATGAACTTGCCCAGAGTCACAAAGCTGCAGGGGCTGAACCCAGCGTCAGACCCCCAAGCCCATGGTGCTCTCCTCTCACAGGTTCAGCCACCTGTCCTTCAACCTGAGCCAAGGACCCCAGGAGGCATCAAGCAGGCTGTAGCAGTGGCCCCAGCAGGCAGAAGGTGGACTCTATGAGCCCTGAGGTCCCTCCTGCTCCTAGGTTCCTCCATGACTGTTTTAGGGCTGGGGGCAGGGGCTCACACAGGTGGTCTTTCTGACGTCACGGCACATGGGCCATTGGCTTCTGGGCAGCTACCTGCTACCCACCCTCATTATGTCACTGCTTATAAACTTGCTCACCTTCTGGCCTCAGCCCAGAGCTGTTCTGCGAGAGGACCAGTAACTCCCCACAACTCGCCCCCACCTCGGCCCATACTTTGGCCTTCTCTTAAAACACTGTCCCGAACCAAGGAAAGTTCCAAAGAGAAGCAACACGTGAAGTGCTATAGAGACCTGTCTGTGGACACTGTTTTAGGAAGAAGAGTGTCTTGGGTTAGTAGAGGTCAGGCATGGGACCTCACTCAGCAGGAAGACAGGGTTCTTAGCCAAGTACACAGCATCTGAAATCTTAGAGATACGGGGTTCGTGTGTGTGTGTGCGCGCGCGCGTGTGGTCAGAGACGGGAAGAAGCGTGTGTAAGGAGGACAGCAGGAGGCGGCATCAACATTATGGATTTTCCCTTGCGCTGTCTCACTGTGGCCTTGCAATCGTTTCTGGGTCAGGGCAGAAAGATGGAAGGGGGATTTTAGCCCCAAAGGGCATCTCCCAGTGATTTACTGGCTGGGGGGTTCTCCCAGGATGCGGGGGCTGGCATATAACAAGACTGGGAAGTTCCCTCCCTCCCGGCATCCTCCTGGATCTCAGGCAGCCCGACACATGAGGACTGACTACATTTATGCTCGTAGCTGTGCCCCCTCCCGGCAAGGCTGTAGCCAGATTTTCTCTGGAGAAGCAGCAGATAATTAAGGTTGAGTGATGGCGATGAAGGAGACACAGAGGAGTCTTTTGGAGGAAACAAAACAGCTTTGGGACAGGGATTCTCTAGCTCCTTTGGCAGCAAGACGTAGGAGGCCGTCTGAGACAGAAAAGGAGGCTCCTAACTTGTTTCTTGTATCGACATTTTTCAGGCACGCTGGCTTCAAATATAGTAGGAAGGGTATACAGGAGGGATGGTTCTGTTAGCGACCGAAGTTCACTGACATCTCTTCTGAGCAGAAGAGGCCTTGGTAATAAAATGGGACAGCAGAACAAATAGGAAGTGATGACAATAGAGCCACCTCCTCACTTCAGACCAAGCAAAATGAACCTCAGCACCAGTTTCTTCTAATGATCAAGGGACTGCTCTACCGTTAGTGGCAGCATGAAGGGAAGAGGGAAGGAAAATAACTTCTTGAAGCAGAAGAGTGGAGCTGACAGGTTAATAGCAGGGACTGGGAGAAGCCTTCCAGTAATAGAAACGAAGACCTCAGTCAGGGCTCCGGTGATGAGCACGTGGTGGGGAGTTCTGGGTAATTTCTAAATCTAGAGTTTTAGGGCTTTGAGATGTACAAACGTCATGCAAGGTGTCCCATTTCCCTCGGGTCCACCCCCTGCGGTAGCTTGAGAGCCTCAGCCTCTCTTTCAGGGTTTGTCTTAATTCTCCTGCTAAGATTTCAAAGTGTTCACAGCCCTGGCTGCTTGTCCCTGTGGCTGAAGGAATCCCCGCCCATGAACCCTCACTCTCCTCCATACCTGAGCTGAGCAGCCCTGATCCAAGCTCCTGGTTCTTAGGAGGTTCTCATTCTCAGGCACCTTTTTTTTGTCGATGTCCCTGAGTCAGCTTCCTCCCTCTTGCTTCCCATAAATGGGGTTTCCTTCCAGAATGTTGCATCCTCTCATCTGCTTGATGAAAATGACTTCCAACTATGTGTCTCTAACCTAACGTTTCTCCTGAACCCAGTTCTGAGCACCTTCCCCCTCAGACTCCTCACGAGTAAGTAGCAGCACTATGCACCGCTGCAGCCACTTTGATTACATCGTCTGGTATCAAACCCAACTGCAAAGCACTGCCTCTCTCTCTAGAACGTGTTGCTGGGGGCGGGGGACTAAGATGTGTCCCCAGGACTCTGCCTGGGTCTACCTGCATGAGGTTGAGGGCAAGGAGTCCTGTGAGGCAACGTGGCTTTGTGCAGGCTGTACAATCAACTCGGAGATCTGAGGGAGAAGGAATATTCAAAGGAGCCACTGGACGCGTTAGACGAGGGGCCTCCCAGCTTCCCCTTTTCTTCCCCTTCCCCTTCGCCTGCCCTCCAAACACTGCCTCACTGGGGTAACTGGCTAACCGCTCCTTCCCATTTTCAGAATGACCATTCTAACGCACATCTGAGGGTCCCTCTTCACTTCTTGTCACACAACCCGAAGGATTTGTAGTCTAGGAAACCAAAGAATAGTTTCGTCAATAAATCGATTTATTTAAAAGAGTATGTTACAATTAATCACACTGAGTGACATTACCGAGCAAGTTTAGAGTGGTTAGCTCTAGAACAAGGCGTGAAAGAAACACTTAGCCATTTCTGTGTCTGCGTATTCTCTTCACATTTTTAATCACAAATAAAAAATACAAGATACTGCAGTGAAAATACAATTAGAGTTTCTCTCAAATAAATTAAAATTGTGCATGGCCTGGGGAAAACTGAAGCCCAGCTCACTGGCTTAAAGGGGGCATGATATAAAACTGGTGTCCAACTTCAGCAGCTGGCCAAGTGTCTGCACCCCGCATCGCTCCCCTCTTCGGCTCCGATCTCCCCCACAGCCCTAAGCTTCCCACACACCTGAGATTATTGCTGAGGAGAGAGCTGATGTTGTCCCGGTGTGAGTGAGGCCTGGCACGGAGTGCCCAGGTTTAGAAGAGGAAGACAGAGGTGGGACGGGAAGGTGGGCACTAAAGCACACCCATCGAGTCTTCTCTCTCGCTCAGTATTCAGCCACGTCCTCCCCCCTCCACAAGGAAGTAATGTGACGCAATGAACCCAGTGAGGGGACCTAGCAGTATGTCAGGCGTCCAACAGACCGAATGGTTTCTCCTGCTGCATCAATCCAGCCAGAGCACGGAGAGCAGGGAGGGCACAGCAGTCCTTCCAGGTCTGGGGGCTTCACATCAACCAGGATGTAGTCCCTTTTAAGAAAATTGCCTCTTAGGAGCCAGACCCATAAGCTGGCAACTCTGAGACAAGAGAGAGGTGTCACCTCCTGTCAATGCCCTTATATTGCTGCTCCAAGCACTGCGTTAGGAGCTACAAGAGGGGACAGCCCTAAGCTACTGGCCTGGGTCACTAAAGGACGAAGCCAGATGGGCCGGGCACGATGTTGAACATTTATCTAATTCCTCCCTGAGAGCTCTGTCCAGGCCTAGGAGTTGCCCTGAGCACTCACCTGTGCTGAGCTTAGGCCTAGGGCAAGGGGAGGGCAGAAAAATGGAGAGCAGAATATAAATATAAAGAGCAGAGAGCCCAAAGCATGGCCCAAGGGAGACTTTCTGCAGGGACAGGCTTCTCAGGGCCTGCATTTTCTCCTGATCCATAAAAAACTCGGAGCTTTTACCAAAGAGAATAGAAACTGAACTTGGAGGAGAGGACAACAGGAGACCAGAAAAATCCTGCTGGCTCTGCTGGGGCAAGGCAGGGGGAAGGGGCAGCCCTTCCGTTTCCCAGAGATAAACTGCAAAAGAAGCCTCCCTGGGCAGAACCCAGGACTAAGAAAGGTAGCAGGGATCAGAGAAAGAAGTGCAGAGCAAGGGGGAAAAGGAGTGTCACACTAACAATGCTTCATGCAAAGAAGAGCTGGATCCTCTGGAGCTCCACAGCCAGTGACCTCTGCCTCCACTGCAGGAGGCCTGCTGT